TGGTGTTATTTCTAGAAAAAATCCGCAAAATTTTTTCTAGGGGTTCGGAAAGCCTTGCAAATGCAAAACTCGGTATCGGTAGTTGGTACCCACAATGGAAAATTGTATTCACATTAAAAATAGAAAACTCTTAGCTCAAATTCCAACTCGGTATTGTCATCGCGATCCTCCCACCGCCACCACGTCTCTCTCTCTCTCTCTCTCTCTCTCTCTCTCTCTCTCTCTCTCTCTCCACGTTCTCCTATCTGCTCAATTCACCGATCCATTCCTCACAAGGATTGGCATGATTCACCGATCACTCCCTCACTCCGAGCGGCGCGATTCTCTAATCCCTCCCTTCCTTTGAGAGACGCGATTCTCCGACCTATCTCTCACTCTAAGCGGCGCGATTCTCTGAGCCCTCCTTCTCTTTGAGGAACGCGATTCTCCAATCACTCCCTCACTCTGGCATGATTCTCATATATGTATCTCATTCTGGCTGATAAGGTATGGTATTTGGTCCCAACTCAATGTCTATCCTAGTCAACAAAAGCTTATCATCCACATTGTTACTTTGCTGGCCTTACATAATACATACTGAGAATTTAGAAATACTTGTTGAGTGCTATTGAAGTGAGAAGATTGATGAGTGATTGAAATCTTAAATCAAGGGGGAGATTACCTAAATCCAAAGAGCTCAAGCAATCAAGACCGTTAATCAATGTTGTCCCTTATGGAAAGATTTCAACCACAACGGTCATCTCCAGCAAGCTATTTAAAGTCGTGAAGACTGCCTGTGATCATCACTTGTGATAAACTATAGCGATAGAGGGCTTAGTTAGTGTCTCAAGGGCTTGGTGATCAGAAGGAATAGGTTTTGATCATTTCAAGGTGTAACAGATCTGGATTGGGATCTGCGTTTTCATTTTCGCTTGTTCTTGAGTCTTTGTTACAGAGTCTTATATTGTATACTCTATTTTTGTTTCACAGAAAAGATAAAAATAAAAACATAGTCTCCCGGAAGTAGTTGGTACTATTTCCGGGACGTGGAGTAACCTCAAATTGGTGAACCACGTTAAAAATATCGTTGTGTTCCTTTCTATTCTTGTTTGCTCTGCTTCTTGTTTCTCTTTCTGGGTTCTTCAGCAAACAGGGGAAACCTTCTCTGTTCAGAATACGATTGATCCTCACTGGGTTGTTCGCTTTAGAACCACCAAGGTTCGATTCACTATGGCTACTTCTTCTTTCAGTAACACCTCTCACAATTAGGGGTGGTCGTTCGGTTATCGGTTAACCGGCCGGTTAAACCGATAACCGGTCGGTTATCCACTAACCGGTAACCGAACTAACCAAACTTCGATCAGTTATCGGAGGCTGGACGAAATGGTTTTTGGTCTTAAAAGTGGTTCGGTTAACCGATAACCGAGATAACCGAGACAGCGAAGCCTATTTCGGGCGGTTTTTGGTAGGGGGAGTGATTATTTTGGTTAACCGATAACCGGCCAATCGGTTACCAGTTATAACCGATATAACCAAACTCCCACCCCTACTCACAATCTTCCATCTCTTTTCACCGGATCGAATTACAATGCTTGGAAAAAGAGAATGCGCACATTCATTTGGGGAGTCGATGAAGAACTCTGGGTTGTAGTTCAAGATGGCCCCATCGAGATGAATCTCAACGAACAGTCCACCTGGACTGCAGCGCAAAAGAAGAGCACCCAATTGAACTATCGAGCCATGCATATTTTGCACTCTGCCATGTCTCCCGATGAAGCCGATAAAGTCGAAAATTGTGAAACAGGGAGGGATATCTGGCAATCTCTGGAGAAGACGTATGAAGGCACATCTAACATCAAGGAATCACGCATCGACTTGTTGATGCATGAATATGAGTCCTTCTCCATGAAATCAGGTGAAAGTATTCAAGAAATGCACTCTTGATTTACTGTTTTAATTAATCGATTAAAAGGATTAGGCAGAACTTTTGAATCCAAAGATTTAGTGCGAAAGATTCTTAGAACTCTTCCCAAGGAGTGGCTTCCTAAACGAACCGCCATTGAGGAAGAAAAAGATTTGAGAATTTTACATGTTGATGAATTAATCGGTTCTCTCCTAAGTCATGAGCATGTCTTAAAACAAGTAGGAGGGGAGGATGAGAAACGTAAAAAGAACATTGCTTTCAAAACTCGTTTTGTGGACTATGATTCTGACAATGATAGTGATAGTGAATTTGATAAAGAATTTGCGATGGTTAGTAAGAAATTCCACAAGATGATGCAATACAAGAATAATAGAAAGCAACGTTCTCGGGATACTGAGAGATACTATGATTCTAATGGCAAGATGCATGATCCTGGCAGATCTCTTAATCCTGTGACTACTAATGATCGTTCTAAAGCTGTTTCTATAGAAAATTCTCAACAGTCTTCAAGGTTTGTTGATCATGGAAACTCTGAAAAAGAAGGACAAGCTTGCTATAAGTGCGGAAGACCTGGCCATATAAGGGCAAATTGTCCTCAAACTCTGAAAGCCAAGGAGAAAGCCATGCTTGCCACCTGGAGTGATTATGACGAAGGGTCAGATGATGAACCCAACCATGACGAGGCGTATATGGCAATCCTCGCTGATCAGCCAAGTCAGAGTAGTCAAGAGATGTCTTTCAGTACTACCATTCATGATCCATCCGATCAGAATCCTTACAACTGGTACCTTGACAGCGGTTGTTCTCACCCCATGTCTGGTAATAAGCTTCTTTTCTCTTCTATTACGCCTAGACTAGGAGGTAAGGTTATCTTTGGAGATGATAACTGTGTTCAAGTTGTTGGGTGTGGTATTGTTGGTAGTCATCCTTATCTTATAATTAATGATGTGCTATTAGTTGATGGGCTAAAGCATAACTTATTATCCATAAGTCAGCTTTGTAGAAATGGTAACAAGGTTACTTTTGAAGATGACAAATGCATGGTTGAGCGGATTATTGATCAAAAGGTTGTGTTTATTGGTAATCACACTAATAATATGTATGTCATTAAACTTTTGAATATCACTGCTTTTAATGAAACCTGTCTTGTTGTTGTTGTTGCTACTCCTCATATGTTGTGGCATAGGAAACTACGACACTTGAGTCTAAGAAAGTTGTCCGCCTTGTCTAAATCAAACTCAGTCAGAGGGATGCCCTGTTTGAAAGAGAAATCTGGGTTCTTTTGTGCTACCTGTGTTGCTGGAAAACATACTAAAAGGTCTTTTAAATCCCAATCTGACATCACTACCACTCATGTTTTTGAACTAATTCACATGGACCTCTTTGGTCCTTGCACAGTTACCAGTTTAGGTGGTAAGAATTACGTGCTTGTTCTTGTTGATGACTTCTCTCATTGTACTTGGTTTTTTTTCCTTGCTCACAAGGATGAGGCAATCGATAAATTTGCTCAGTTTTGTAAACTTGATGGGAGGGAAATAAGATGCATTTGTAGTGACAATGGGGGTGAGTTTGTGTCAGATGACTTTGTTACTCTATGTGAATAGTCTGGGATTTGTCATACTTTCTCTGCTCCTCGAACTCCCCAACAAATGGAGTTGTTGAGAGGAAAAACAGGATCTTGATTGAGTCTGCCCGAACCATGCTTTTGGAGTATAATATTCCTAAGTATTTCTGGGCAGAGGCTATTAGCACTGCCTGTTATGTGGAAAATCTTGTCCTGATTTGTAAAGGTTTAGATAAGACTCATTATGAGATTCTCAAAGGGAAGACCCCTAATATATCTTATTTTCATCCATTTGGCTGTCGGTGTTTTTCTCTTAATACAAAAGATCAACTATGAAATTTTGATTCTAAATCTGATGAGTCGATTTTTCTTGGATATTCCATCAAGGGTCAAGCATATAGACTATTCAACAAAAGAACTAAACGTGTAGAGGAATATGTACACATTTAGTTTGATGACTTGGCATCTGTTTCTCCTATTCCTGAATCTGATGTTTTTATTTCTCTAAGATGAGTACTCCTGAAGGTACAGAAACTGTGGAAGATCGTGAGGCTGCTGAATCACTTGGCTCCGAAGCTCAAGACGAATCTCAAATGGAAAGTGTACCTCAGGAGCCTCCTCATATCCAGAAACGCCATCCACAGAGTCAAATCATTGGTAATTTGACTGATGACCTGAAAACACGAGGTAAACACGTTCCTGGTCAGTATGCTTATGTGTCTAAACTAGAACCGAAAAATTACAAAGAAGCATTACAAGATGAGGAATGGAATTTTGCTATGATAGAGGAACTGGTTCAGTTTGAACACCTTCATGTTTGGGACTTAGTTCCTAGACCTATTGATAGGCCTATCATAGGAACAAAATGGGTTTATAAGAACAAAACTGATGAAATAGGAGATATTACTAAAAACAAAGCCTGACTCGTGGCTCAAGGTTACTCTCAAGAAGAGGGTATCGACTACGATGAAACATTTGCTCGTGTTTCTAGGTTAGAATCTATTTGTCTTCTACATGCTTTTGCTAGTCATATGGGGTTTCGTCTTTGCCAAATGGATGTTAAAAGTGCCTTCTTGAATGGTGTCATTCAAGAATAAGTTTATGTGAGTCAGCCTCCTGGTTTTATTGATCCTAAATTTACAGATCATGTTTATAAGTTAAACAAAGCCCTTTATGGGCTAAATCAAGCACCACGTATGGTCATTTGAATTCGTTTCTTCTTGAACAGGGTTTTACTCAAGGTAATGTTGACAAAACTCTATTCAGTAATCATGTTGCTGGGCACTTCCTCATATTTCAGATTTATGTCGATGACATAGTTTTTAGGTCTGATAATCCTTCCATGTGTCAATCTTTTTGTGAGTCCATGCAGGCATTTTTGGAAATGAGTATGATGGGTGAGTTGAATTTTTTCATAGAGCTGCAAGTTCAACAATCAGATCATGGGATCTTTATTAATTAGTCTAAATACGTGCATACATGTTGAAAAATTTTGATTTGTTAAATATAAATTCTTGTCCCACACCCATGGCCACTACTACTAAGTTAGACAAGGATGAGTCAGGGGTTAGTGTAGATGACTAAAAATACAGAAGCATGATAGGATCCCTTCTCTACTTGACTGCAAGCGTCGTCCTGATATTCAGCACAGTGTATGTCTTTGTTCTCGGTTTCAAGGTAATCCTAAGGAAAACCACTTGACTGCTGTCAAGCAAATTTTTCGTTACCTTAAGGGAACTCAATTTGTTGGTCTGTGTATCCCAGACATACTTATTTTGACCTTCTCGGGTATAGTGATTCTGATTTTGGTGGGAGTCTGACTGATCGCAAGAGCACTAGTAGTTCGTGTCAATTCACGGGTACTAGTCTTATTTCATGGTCTTGTAAGAAACAGGGGGCAGTAGCGCTATCTACAGCCGAGGGTGAATACATAGCAGCAAGGAGTTGTTGCACTCAACTCTTATGACTTCAGAATCAAATTCAGGACTACGGTATGACTATTCCAACTATTCCCTTATTTTGTGATAATACTAAAGGTATTTGCATGACCTAAAACCTGGTTCAACACTCTAGAACCAAGCACATTAAAATTAGATACCATTTTATTAGGGAATTGGTCCTTAATAAGGTTATTAAGATCAATCACGTTCCCTCTGAATTCTAGCTGGCAGAACTTTTTACAAGGCCCTTGCATTCTGATCGCTTCACTTTCCTTTGCTATGAAATAGGGCTTCGTTCTCCATCAAATCTGGAGGATCTTCTCTAATTCCTATGGTTCTTGCCTTGTTTGTTTATGGTTACTTTTTTGTTTCTTCCTTTTTTATTATTTTCCTTCTTTTGTGCTCTCTGTCTCTCTATTTAAGTTCGTCTCATTCGTTTTGTTTTATTCTCTTCAGCCTATTTAGCTTTCTTAGATAGTTGTGTCGGTCTCTTTTTCAATGACTTTTCCCTTTGCCCTTTCATTTACTAGGTCCCTTTTTCATGATCATATTCCTGCAAATCCTCATCGTCATCGTGTCTCTTTTGCATCTCGCACTATTTTTCCTACGTATATTGTCTCGTTTCATGATCTCTTGGATTTTGGGATTATTATCGAACAGTTGGTTGACAACCTTGGTTGGACTTTTCTTCTTGAAGATAATTCCACTATTGTCTATCCCAAACAAGTTCGCCTGTGCTTTTCCAATTTCCAATCATATGGGATCCACACTCGTACCTTCACCACCCTCATATATGGTCACCTTGTCACAATACCCTTAGAAGATCTTCGCAGGCTTCTCGATATTCCTCACATGGGGGAGATCTTGCCAATGAGTCTGAGTTTCACTTCTTTAATTTCATTATTGTGGAGGAATTTGTTCACCTCACTGGTCATGTTCCTGATGCCTCCCTTACTCTGCCTGCTACTTTTCTGCCTCCTTCCATGCAGGCTTTTAACTTTGTCCTTACCCGTCGTTTTCTGCCCCGTACTGTTCTTCTTGATCGAGTCGCTCCAATGGAGATCCTTTCCCATGTTTCTGCTAATGTTCCTTTGGATTACTCGCTTCTTCTGTTTGGGGCTCTCTATCCTTTCCAGCAGTTTGAGTTTCAAGCTCCTTTTCCGTTTGGGCCTCTAATTACCCGTCTTATAGTTCAACTTGTTATCTCTCTGAACCCTTTCCGTTCCATTACTCCTGCCATTTATTTCTCTGCGGAAGAACTCTTTGACGAGATTCCAGTTGCCGTTGAGGGAGAGGATGACTCTGAAGCTGACGAAGAAGAAGAGGAGGACGGAGAAGAAGAAGAGGACGGTGATGGTGACTCTGAAGACGACGAGATTGCTGAAGGGGAGGAAAACCCGGAGATTCTCTGGATCAGTAGCAACGACGACAGCGATAGTGATTATTCTGACTCCGATGACGGTCCCGCCCCTCCCCCTGCCTCTCCAGGATCTATCCTTGCTGCTGAGTGCTTTTTATGATTCGGCGTAGGCGCTTAGGTCGTTTTGTTTATTTTTGGACTGTTTCCTTGAGTTGATACTCTATTGAGGATTGTGGTTATTTTTCCTGGTACTTTTCTTTTGGTTTGCTGGATTGTTTCGAATGTGTGGGATTTTGTCTTCAGATTTTGGTTCAAATATTTTTGTCGGATTTGGGCTCCATATTTGCTGTCTTGTGGGAAGGTTGTTCTCTTCTTCTTTTGCAGGTTTCAATCGGCAATCATCAATCTCTAACTTAGGGGAAAATTTTTTAGCGCTTTTGAAGTAAGAAGATTGATGAGTGATTGAAAGCTTAAATCAAGGGGGAGATTACCTAAATCCAAAGAGCTCAAGCAATCAGGACCGTTAATCAAGATTGTCCCTTATGGAAAGATTTCAACCACAACGGCCATCTCTAGCAAGCTATTTAAAGTCGTGAAGTGAGCCTGTGATCATCACTTGTGATAAAATATAGCGATAGAGGGCTTAGTTGGTGTATCAAGGGCTTGGTGATTGGAAGGAATAGGTTTTGATCATTTCAAGGTGTAACAGATCTAGATTGGGATCTGGGTTTTCATTTTCGCTTGTTCTTGAGTCTTTGTTACAGAGCCTTACATTGTATACTATGTTTTGTTTCACATAAAATATAAAAATAAAAACAGAGTCTCTCGGAAGTAGTGGGTACTATTTCCGAGACGTGGAGTAACCTAAAATTGGTGAACCACGTAAAAAATATCGTTGTGTTCCTTTTAATTCTTGTTTGCTCTGCTTCTTGTTTCTGTTTCTGGGTTCTTCAGCAAACAAGGGAAACCTTCTCTGTTCAAAATACGATTGATCCTCAATGGGTTGATCGTTGACAGCTGACTTTCTCATTAACCCGCAAGAAACAGGCCATATTTCTTTCTTTGGGCCGAGTCTTACTCAAAACCCATTTCAGGGCCTGCTTTACATGCCCACTTAGAGATAGTTGAGAAAGAAACTATTCGAGATCTGTTTTGCATATCTGTCTCATCTTCTCAACTTCTCTGTCCCTTGTTCATTTCCTTTGCTAAAGCTCCAAATCGCCATTATCGTTTTTCAATACTATACCTAGATTCAGTAAGAGGAATGCTTATTTATTTATATCTTTTTACTTGGTTTGCATGAAAAAAAGTGATTAATTCCTGCCCATCAGAATCCGAGATTATGAAGATATTATGGAAATATGTGATGGATCGTGATGTTCTTTCGTCTATTCAAAGAAATTCTTGAATGTGATTGGTTGTTCCTTCATCATCCAAGGGCCAAGTGTCCGTGAAGCATAATCTTACTTTTATGTTGGGTTTGAATTGTGATACCTAGATATGGCAATTTCAACCTGACCCGTTTTATCTGATCTGTTTGGCCTGTTTTGGGGCGGGTATGGGTATTCTTATCGATCCGACCTGCCTTGACCCGCCCCATTCTCGACTCATACTTGTCTAAATAACATGTAATCATTGTCAAATTACTTAGGAATTTTCTTTTATTACATCTTATTTTAGCTGTAATAAAGTTGTAAATTAGTGAAAACGTAAAATTCTCCAATAACATTTATCGTATTATGATTTGTTTCTTGGTCTTATAATGAAAATATAGAATATTTCTAATACTTTTCATATAAATTACATACCCATTAGGTTGACCTGCCCCGATCTGCGCCTCGTGATAAATTACCCGAACTACCACGGGTAGACAATTCATAACCCATTGCATTTGTTCATCCAAACAAGACAATTTTACTCTCAATTTCTCCAAATAACACACAAATACCACGAATAGAAAAAATGAGTTATTTGGGTCTACAATACCACATTTTCAATTAACTCATCCAAACGACCCTTAATTTTTGGAGGGCTAAAATTTCAAGGACAACCGTCATCAAAAGGGGGCCACCAGATAGAACGACCATCAGCTGCGGCCTCGTGCGATGCGCACGCACATCATTGGGCAAGAGCGCGCGCGTACAGCGCTGCGCCCGGGGCCGCTTCTGTGGTCCCTTCTCTTTTTAATTTTTGATTTAATTACGGCAAAATTCATCTGTGTAGCCAAAACTATCATGTTTGTGACAATAATAGCAACTTTTGGCGAAATACCAAAAATAGCCAAAATTTTGAAAGTTTCATGACAAATATAGTCATTTCCATTACGTATTTTAACGACGTTACTGACACCGTTAGTCAAATTAACGAAACGCTTACCTGGCTGCCAACTAACCGGACACATCATTGACAACTCACTAACACTTGCCACGTATACATTACATGTTAGATTTTATTTTAAAATAGTTAATTAATTTATTAAAAAATCATTTATAAAAAAGTCCAAGGAATTGCCTCGTTCCCTCACCAACCTCTATTCTTGTTTACCCCATCGTCGACCAAAACTTTTTCATTTTTGGTTCAGTTCCTTCATTCAAACCACCTCGACCAAAACTCCTTTCCGGCGATTGGAGCATGTGAAAGAATCCGACGGAACTTGCGGTTGGCATATGGAACTATCGGTTTCTCGCCGGTCGTCGAAGGCGGTGCTACCCACTTTGACTCGAAGCTTTCGTGTTTGGTCCTGTGCGTATCGTCGAGTAAGGGACCGCTCGAATTGAGATCGGGGCCAAGCCATGGCAAATCCCCTTACCTCATTTAGAAGCAAAGGTTCTGGGAAGGGGAAAGAACAAATAAGAAGAATTATGGAAGAACAGAGGAATAAGAGAGATGGGCAGAAGCATATTGGTAAAGGGAGAAGAAGGGGAAGAAGATTTTGGCTAGCTTCGGGTGTCTTCCTCCTTTAGATTGAATTTTGCTTACTAATTGTCTGCCTCTTTATTCCTTTTTATAAAGCTTAATAGCAACAATAAAACCCAAACGGTTCTCGTCGGAGATGGTGAGGGCGAGGGTGCAGAAGGGGGTTTTCTGGCGGCACAAGGAGAGACGGTTCAGGCGGCGGATATGAATCTGTTTTATGATCCGATGTGGGACGGTGGAAGGAGGAGTTGAAGGGTGTTTGTAAAAGGAAGGTACTTGGGTGGGATGGAGGAGGTGATGAAGATTTTGGAGGAATGGCGATGGCGGATTTTCTCTAGGGTGGAGTGGGTTTCTTGAAGCGGCGGAGGGAGATGAAGAGTTTGTGGGTGGGTGGGTAGGTGGAAACACAAGGAAAAGGGCAGATTGTTTTTTTTTTAATTTCTTAAATTAAATCCACGTGGGAAATACAAAAATTGCCAGATCGGACGATTCATTAGTCCAATTAAGCACGTTAACTCACACCGTCAAAGAATTGGACGGAAATGACTATTTTTTGTATTTCACCAAAACTAGCTATATTTGTCCAAACTGTCAAAGTTTTGACTACCAAGTGTATTTTGCCTTGATTTTTCAATGTTTATGTGTATGTTTATTGTGAATTTTCCAGCCGACAAAATCCAATCTTGTGTAATTTTCGTCTGTTTGATTGGTACATGAATACCAAATTTTGGATTTGATTAGCAAATTTACTTTAAACGTAATGAAAAACTCATACATCTTTCATGAGCCTTCAATATTCATGAAAATTGATGCATTACGAGCCAAATATTGACCAAATAAGATGTGAATCATCAATGAAAGTGATTAACTAATTGATTTGAACAAAAAACAAAAATAGCTTAGAAATTGTTTTTACTGGATTCTCTTTCGGATAGGCCCTGAAAGGAGAAGTAAGGCTGGAATGCCAACAGATCTCTATGAATGGGTAAGTCGCCAATCCCTAAAACGGACTATGTAATGTACTTTATCTGTTGATCTGTTGGGTTACGGGCGGGCAGTTTACCAGAGGTTTCTATTGTATCATGTGTAATTCCTGTTGAAGCATATACCCGGGGGTGGTTGCAGGGCGGACGCTTTCAAAGCGGACTCCCCATTCATTAGATAGAGAAGATCACCAAGATTTCGTGATCCGGACCGAGAACCGGAAAGATTAAGTTCCAAAAAACAAACAATAATGAAGAAAAGAAAATTGAATATATAAAATTTATATTAAAAATGTAAGTTTAAATATTAATACGTTATTATTACTAAACACTAAACAGAAAATTATAGCCTCCAGCATTGCAAAAGTTTATGTTTTCCAGAGGACTAAAAACCATATTATTTTTAAAATAACTCATTTAAACGAATAAGTAGCCGGATCTAGTTTTGATTTACAACGTCGGAGTTATCGAAACATACATTTGAACACTTGCCTCTGAGCATCCCGTCCTTTTCATTGCACTCCCTTTCTACTGCGGATAAGATGAAACATGGGAGGGGAATAGTAATGGGGAGAATGCAGAAAAACAAATAAGACTCCAAACACATAATTTATGACCGTTACTTGGGAGGTTTTACCTGCTGGAGGCCATAAAAAATACAGCAAATAATAAGAGAAAGACGGAGCGAGCAATGGCTACGAGCAAACGATTCTATTTGTATGGGTCTCTGTCAATCAAAGGAAAAAGAAAGCGAAAAAGAAGATGCCATGGGTCCGTCATCCGGCCACTGTACGGTGGATACGGAGCTCTCATCAGCCCACTCCCGGCTATAAATGTCAGAAACCGAACATGAAAACTAGGGTTATCAATCTGTCTGAGTCGCGGACTAGATCGTTCTCTTTAAGACGTTCGGGGCACTGTTTCGTAATGCGCACAACAGACTATCAGCTGGTCGTCTCCAGGATAAAACAGTCACTCATTAAATTTGCTCGGCGGTTTTGTGCGAAAACCGAAGCTCTCTGAATCTCACCCTCTCTCATGTTTCTGCTCTCTGAAGTGTGTTTAGATGGTCTGGGCGGTTTTGTGCAAAAAACCCAGAATATTCCTTCTTTCTTTGGGAATAAGTCACATTTTAATTAGGGAGATAATTACTCCCATTATTAAAATATAATCTATTAAGATAATTAATCTTAATTATCTTCATAATATTCCTAATTAATTATCCATCTTATTTTCGTATTATGGGAAAATACTGAATAATTAATTAGGAATTTCATTTATAGCTTTTCAAAGCTATTCATCCCAACAATCCCCCACTTGAATAGTTTTGAAACTATCTTTGAGCATCAACAGTTCCATAAGATCGGGCATAAGCTAAGGTATCGCGAAGATTTGAACCTTAGCGTAGTGGTTACACTTTTCATAAGGGTGACTCGTAGTCTTGAACCCTATCTCAGACAGTGTAGCACACCGGACCCTCTTTTAGTGGTAAGTTTCCACTCAGCCATTTATTCTTCTCCAGGGTCCCTTTCAAGCCGGCAATCAGGCATTAGGCGACGAAAAGGGAGGGAGGAACGAATGGGACTGAGGGACTGCTAAAGGGCTCTATGGAATATACCCTGCTACGAGTAAGGCCAATGGTCTCGTCTATAAGGTCAACCTTTCAAACTGCTGCTGAATCCATGGGCAGGCAAGAGACAACCTGGCGAACTGAAACATCTTAGTAACCAGAGGAAAAGAAAGCAAAAGCGATTCCCGTAGTAGCGGCGAGCGAAATGGGAGCAGCCTAAACCGTGAAAACGGGGTTGTGGGAGAGCAATACAAGCGTCGTGCTGCTAGGCGAAGCGGTGGAGTACTGCACCCTAGATGGCGAAAGTCCGTGAGAGAAAAGGATTGAATGCTTCGTTCCTCTCCTTTCAGTCGAGCTACTTCTAACCTTCGGTCGAACTCTCCCCCTCTCCTTTCAGTCGAGGATCTTTTAATTGAGTGATATTCTCTCATAGGTCGTGCGTTTATGGCCATGCATGTTATCCCGGTTTAGTGAATGCTCTAGCAACTTTGTGCCTCCAAAGTTCCATAGGGGGCGGCCCGACTCCCACATTCACATAGTTGAGTCTATCAGAAGTACCCCCCAAAGTAAAGTACTTCACTTCACATTGATTATAGATCTCATTAAGAGTTTAACTCAACCTCCAAGGCTTTGGGATTCATGCTTCACTATGCATGAACTTCTCTCAATATTACTCATGACTTGTTATTACCCATTGAACCAGTTTCTTGGGATCTCCAGTCTATCGGGTCGGGTTACCATCACTTGTAATCCATGGTTCGGTAGGCATAAGTCTCATACCCTTTGTGGTATATTGGACTTTCTCTCTAGCTAGTACTTTCGTCAAAGGACCAACTACATTTTTTTATAATCTCAAGTTCATCCTTTCGTCAAAGGATAACTAGATTCTCTTTTAAGTGATCCACCCTTACTGCTCCAACAGTTAGGGACTCTCTCTTCCAGTACTGTTCTTATGACGAACTTGTTGCCTCTCGCCTTTTGTTGCGTTTCTATTTAGCAATTGCTATCGCAATGGATCAATAACGGCGGATACGGTCTTTACCATAAGGGAATCTCTAGTAATGACCCTCTCAATCAAATTTCTTTTTTTAACTAGCCATTGCTAGTTCTATCATTTCTGACTCCATAGTTGATTGAGCCAGGATCGTTTACTTCTTTTTCTTAGACTTCCAAGACACAACTTCTCTATCGGTTTAAAACATAGCTTCTGGTAATCTTGGAGTCCTCTATATGGTTTTCTGTTCTTTTAAGGTGTCTCGTGACCCCTTTCAATAGCATTTTAATGCTTCATACTGGGACATCATGTAATCCTGCCAAATAACCCACAATGTCGGATCTCGTGTTAATCAGCTGCCTCTTGCAGACTGTTGATGCTAGTATATTCTAACTTTCTTAATTTCATACACCGTTTCCAGTGTTATTTAATATTTACTCTAGCATCATCAACCATTTATGCAGGCATACAACTTGTATTTCTTCTAGATCTTAACTATGTATTTAAACTGATTTAGAGGAAATCTATTTCATTGTCATAGTTACCTGGATCTCTTAGCTTACACAAGCTTCATCCAGATCATTCAAAATTCTCAAACATGGTTTTACACATCATTGATATCATGAGTCTTTGTACCAAATATCAACATGTCATTCATAGTGCACGTGTCATTCTCAAACTAGTACTAAATGCACTTGTCACTTTCATTAAAACCATGAGAGAAAACCAATTTATTCATGCCATTATCTTCGAGTCTGTTTCAAATCTTACAATGACTTGTCTAACTACAGACTCCATAATCATGTTCAGAAATAACAACCCTATAGGTTGTCCCATATAGATTTCCCTATCTAAATCACCATTCACAAAATAGTTTTAACATTCATCTCATACATGAAAGTTATTCTACATATTGGTGAATAGATATCTATAATGTTTCCTCTTCACCTAAAGACTTAACAACTAGGCGATCATTATACTCATAAACTAAACCATCATGTTTCAGTTTTTCTTATGGGAATCCATTTATTACCTTCGACTTCATTTCCAAGAGGTAATTCTCATAGATGCCAAATCTTGTTCGATTATATCAATATATTACACAAGGCTTTACAGCTAAGAGGTAAGATTTTAAGTCTTATTAGACTCCAATAATTCCATTTCGTTAATAATGGATTCTCCCACAATTCTGCATCTTTATGAAAGTTGAACTTCTAGCAGACTTGTATGATCTTTCTTTCTTAGGATGTAAATAATAAATTCATTACCAAAATCCTTTCGTGATTTATGGTTCATTTGTCTCTTCTGAGTTCATACTCAGATTCATCACCCCCAATAGTTATCCATTACTTCTAATAGTAGGCTGGATACAACCCCCACTATCTCTTGATTTTAAATGGAAGTCTATTGGCATCAATGGATTTCACAACATAATGAGTATTCCAATAATTATACCTATGTGTTTCACTATTGACGACATGACGAGTAAAACACACTTATAAGCTCTTCTAGTTATCATATTACACTGATTCTTTAGCTCTACAGCTAGCATGCAAGATTTCGAATAATCAAGGCAATCATTAATAATGCGTTTAAGCATTTCAAGTCATTTACGTCTCAAATAACTAGACAGACAATCAGAGCACTCTAAAAACAATAAATTATTTATTGCCTTCCATCTTGTTTACCCATTATCAAAATAGATAAAATTTTTCGAATATAATTTTCTAAATATATTTTTATGGGTCGTTTAGATTGGATACACAAAATTCATATTTTTCTCAAGCATCCAATAAAAATATGGGAATGTGGTATAAGATATTCTAATTCTTCACACAGACACACTTAGAAGAATTTATCTTATCTACTTAACCATTCCTTACGTCTAGGATAGTCAATGACTTTCTAGAGGTATGGTTCTCTTCCACTTTCCCAGAACCATCAACAATAGTGGTGAGGATCTTGCCCACCAACACTTTCTCCTTCAATACGCCTCAATGCATGATTGAGCTTAGCTACTTTAACAGATGCATGCCTTAAGTCGTTAATATCCAACCACCATTCTTCATAATTGCCATCAAGGCCTATCACCCCATTAGTGATTATTGCCACCAAATCCTGTTATTTAGTCAAGTTAACACTAGGTTAAACTTGTTCTTACACTTTCATGTCTTATGACCTAGTTTTTCACAAATTTAATAGAGAAACATAGCGTCATTCTTAGATGATTGGGTGGCAATCTTATGGTTACCACAAAGGGTACCATTCTATTTGGTATGGATCTTGTTCGGCTTGCTGCTCTCATTCTTGAAACTTTAATGTTTCAGAGCAGCCTAAGTGGTTCGTGTAGTACTAATAATAGTACTTCTTAAAGTATCGTTATTATGGGCAATAAGCCCATTCTATTCCCATATATTCTTTCTACATACCCATGAAGTAGCATTATTCTATTCCACCGCATATATACAAGTTTCATACTTTAATCATCGAGGTAACTCTTCTCGATGTCGACATAAACATGCATAAATTCTCGTTTCTCTAGCATTCTTAAGATTTCTCAATTTCATGCATATAGATATATATTAATGACTCACGAGGAAGGTTTCAGTTCTTACCTTTCTTTTTCTATCTGAATTTGCTAAAATAGCTAGCATCATGTGTAGCTTGTCTTGAATGATTTTCTGACAGATGGCACCTTTGACAATAGTCATTTTGGAGATCTTGTTCTCCTTGTCCTCGTTCTTCCATCTCCAGACTATGCTCAGCTCGGTGAGCTAATTCCGCACTTCATTCTTCTATTTCATATCGAGGCAATCCTATTGAGCTAAGCGACTCGATTATATCATGGATATTATTCGTGGGCTTCCTCCTGTTAAGCTTTTAGTAGCTTTTAATTTCCCCCATAAATGGTGTTATCCCTTCAGGCTGGCCGCTACTGCTAGTAGGCTCATCCACATCCATTGGAACCTTTGGTGCTTCTAAATTTATAGGCTTTGTAGCCTCCTCAGTTTTGTCCACAAACTCTGTACGACCAGTCCTCTTTGTGTGCAAATCAGTTTCTGTTTTCGATCGGCAGGGCTTTCCACAAGCACTGCAGACAAGGTTAAGAACGACCTTCGTCGAATCGGAGAAATTGGAGCGCGATGTCAGCTCGGCGTGCCCCTGAGCTTCCTCTACGGACTTCAACAGGGTGCCGCAATCCCCGCACTTCATGGAAACTCCCACCATTTATCGATCCGTCAATCACCAGGAGCAGCAGCTCCCGGGGAATTCTAAACTTTGCCGGCGACGAACAAACGCGGCCGACTCCGGGCGGAGGATAGAGAATTCGAGTTCTATGGTCGGCTGAATTCGGATCGTTTGTTTTATAAGTACCATCTTCTTTTGCTATTTCTGTCGGAGGGTCAGGCAGCTCAATTAGCTGGGGCCTTTCTTCTATTAATTTGGCCCAGGATGGAATTCAAGCCACGATAGACGAAGCAACTTGAGCGGCGGTTGCTTTCAGTCCCCACGCAACCATAAATCGTCGATGTTCTCTCATGGCTTCGCGACGTCATGAAGACTTTCTTTCCACCACACGTATAGTAATCATTTAAACCATAATCGGTATCATGTTCGTTAGATATGACAGCCATTGAACGTCTAAAAATTGTCAGAAACCGAACATGAAAACTAGCGTTACCGGCTGAGTTGCTGACTAAGTCGCTCTCTTAAAGACGTTCGCGACACTGCCTCGTAATGCGCACAACAGACTATCAGTCGGTTACCTCCAGGATAAAACAACCACTCATTAAATTTTTTCGGCGGTTTTGAGCGAAAACCAGAGCTCTCTGAATCTCACTCTCTCTCGTGTTTCTACTCTCTGAGGTGTATTTAGAGGGTCTAGGCGGTCTGCTATTTATAGGAGCAGAAACCCCAGAATATTCCCTCTTTCTTTGGGAACAAGTCACATTTTAATTGGGGAGATAATTACTCACATTATTAAAATATAATCTATTAAGATAATTAATCCTAATTATCTCCATAATATTCCTTTTATTAATTATCCATCTTATTTTCGTATTATGGGAAAATACTGGATAATTAATTAGAAATTTCATTTATAACTTTTCAAAGTTATTCATCCCAATAATAAATACCCAGGTCGAGACTGAACATTGGATCATCCATAAACATATCAGAACAGAGCAAGTCCTCAAAACCACACTCTTACCCTTTTTTGCCACCTTCAGAAATCAAAACCAACCCAAAAGATGTCTTGCTTCATGAACGAACGAAGCACATCGAGCTTGATTGCCACTTCGTCCGCAAAAAGATCCTTTTAAACACAATCAAACTCCTCCATGTTTCAACAGTCCATCAACTTGCATACCTCTTCACCAAACCTCTCCTACCAGCTAAATTCCTTCATCTGTTGTCCAAGTTTGGTGTGCTAAACATTTGCCCACCAGTTTGCAGGGGGGTATCAGAGAAAAACATCAGTTTTTCTACGCCAATCTCAAGTGCAGAACCAATTCCAGAAGCAGAGCAGCAAACTTCAAACCTGTCGACTGTTGGAATGAAGACGGCGCCGTATCTAGAGGAGGCTTCCCCTGCAAGCAAGACGACGACGCATAGAAGTTGGAGTCAAGTTGTCTCTGGCAAATTACCAAACTGATGCCCAACTTCTCATTTTGTTCATTTTCCCTTTTCGGGCTGTACTTTCTTCTTTCCCAAGTTTGCATGACATGATTGTCTTTCCGATGGCAGGGTCAACAGCTTGTTGGATCTAGGCCAGCACCATGATGTTGTTATGTTTCCAGGAGGTAGATTGGTCATTCTCATCTCCTGGATCTGGAATGCTCTCATCGATGAAACCAGTAAAGAAGACAAAGTTGGGAAAGAAGAAAGTACAACCCGAAAAGGGAAAATGAACAAAATGAGAAGTTGGGCATCAGTTTGGTAATTTGTCAGAGACAACTTGACTCCAACTTCTATGCGTCGTCGTCTTGGTTGCAGGTACGGATGGCAACAAAACCCGAACCCACGGGTACCCACCCGATCCAACCCGGTCAACGCGGGTAAAATCCGTGTTGACGAGTTTTGGGCCGGGTTTGGGTTTAAACACGTTCACTATTCACCGAGTTGGGTTGGGTTTGGGTTTAGGTAAACCCGACCTATGGATACCCGCCCACACCCATATAATTAATTTTCTTGGTATATTTAATATTCTAAACAACTAATCTTATTTATGTTTGTGGAGACATGTCTAATTTTTTCTTTCTAATTGTGTAGAATGAAGTTGATGTTATTGAGTAGAGAGTGAAGAAACTTAATTGAAAGGAAGAAGCTTTCAATTAATCATGTTATTTATGGATAATTTGTGATTTGCTTAAATTATATTGAGTTTTCTAGATTGGTGTTGAACAATTTGTATAGTTAATTTGTGATTTGCTTGAATTTTCTAGAATGGTGTTTTATATATGGATAATTTGTATTGAGAGATTGATATTTGACTTTAATTTTGATAGGAACTTGTTATTGTAAATTTTTTACGACAAAAACCTGTGGGTACCCATGAACCCACGGATACCCAGCGGGTTGGGTTGGGTTTGAGTTTTTCAAACCCAGTGAGTTTTACCCCGGGTTTTTTTCACGGATAAACCCATGGATTTGTGTTTGGGTTTGGCAAAACCCAACCCAACCCGACCCATTGCCATCCGTAGTTGCAGGGGAAGCCTCCACTGAATAAGGCGCCGTCTTCATTCCAACGATCGACAGGTTTGAAGTTTGCTGCTCTGCTTCTAAAATTGGTTCTGCACTTGAGATTGGCGAAGAAAAATTGATGTTTTTCTCTGATAATTGGGTCCGAATTTATTCGACTCCGCAGGGGATTTGAGGACTCGGAGAGGAGCGTCGGTGCGGAAAACGGCTGCAAGTGCGGATCAAACTGCACCTGCGACAACTGCGGCTGCAAATGAACAAACCTCTTCTAAATCTCGCTCGGTTCCATTCCATGTATCAGGGCTCAAGATAGGGTGCATAACCATGGTTATGCATCCATCAATAACCAAATCTGGACCCTTCATTTAGAAAATCCAGATCTAAGGATGGAAAATTAAGGACCATTTTTATGTTTCCTAGCTTTCTTAATCGGCTCATATCTTTTTCGTTTTAACTCGGATTTTAATTTTTTTTGCAAAGATGGAACGAGTTCATCGTGCTCTACCAAATGAGAACAATTTTCAATATTTTTTTAGAAAAAAAAATTATGGCCTCTCGGTACCAACTGCATACCATATGGTATCTTCTTCGTTTTTAATTCGTTTTTGAAAAAGTTTGCACAGAAGGGACGAGTTCATCATGATCTATTGGATCTACAAATTTCTGGGTGAACAAACTACAGGACCAAAAAATACCACACAATACCATACAATACCACACTGGTACGGGGTGGTATTGTATGGTATCTTCTTCATTTTTAATTCGTTTTTGAAAACGTTTGCACATAAGGGACGAGTTCATCATGATCTATTGGATCTACAAATTTCTGGGTGAACAAATTACAGGACCAAAAAATACCACACAATACCATACAATATCACCCTGGTACGGGATGGTATTGTGTGGTATACAATGTTAAAAGTCGTAAATGACAATTAATATACTTCTACTATCATGTATTCAACCATCCTACAGTCTTGGTTTGTTCATACCACCATGATACGTTTTTCAAACCATAGGTATGCTTTTATTTCAATACCAGTCAATACCATATGGTATAGACTGGTAAAAAATGACTCAATTTTTTTGTTCGAAAAATATATTAAAGTGGATATCATTTTGAAAAGCACAATTAATCTGATCTAACTATGCAAAAAAAATTAAATTTCGACTTAAAATGAGTGACAAATCGTCCGTCAAAGATTAAAGAGGGGAAAATTAAAGGTTTTTCAGGAGAGAGAGGATGCTGATGTCATGTTGATGTGGATGGGTTACTCATAGTTACTCACCATAAGGTTACTGACCTGATCCATTCCCATGTATCAGTCCTCCAACAAAGCAGAGCGTCGTTATTTAATAAGAGTCGTTAGTGCTTGTCCCTGGCCTTGTTGATGTTGTAAATAAAAAAATAAACAGCCATTGCAGGGTTTGTTTCGAGAAAGATACTAAAAAGAGCGAAATCCTTTCGTGACGGCAGTCGGAAATGGAGGTTGCCTGTTTTTCGTCCATCTTTCTTCTTAATTTGCTGCTGCTCCTGTGGCTGGGTTTTCTTTAAATTACTGTTTCAGTCTTGTCTGTTATGCTTTGTTGGGTTTCGCCGGGCAGTGATTTATATTACTATCCTGTTACGTTTCTCAAATTGGAGCTTTTACTCTGTTTTCGCCATGGCTCCTCTGTCTCCAACTCCAAGTCGGAGTTGAATGATAAATCATGAATGTGTTGTATGATTGATGCCGTGAGTTAGAATGAGAATGAAGAGTGAATCGAGAATGTGCATGATAGAATGAGGGATTAGAATTGCAAGAGTAAGTATAATTATAATATGTACGTTGCTTTGACAAAACAAAAGCAAAATAGCTAAAGGATACGATTTTTTGAAGGATTATAAATAAGTTTGGATTGGGAGCGGAGAACTTTAGATTCAAAATGAGTGGTATTATGACTTGACAAAATTCTTGTTCACAACTAAAAGATATGATTGATCTTTGATATTTGACATAACGATTTGAGAATTTTAAATATCAATATATAGGCATGAATCTCGAAACTAATTACTATTATTTCTCATATCATATTAAAAGCAAGAAATTTTACAATACTTTGTAGTATTCGTGATTTGGTTTAAAAAATTATGATACAAACAGAATGGGTAAATACCAAGTTTGGTCACCGTGTTTACTAAAACGTGTCATGTTTAGTCATTGAAAAAAGTTAATATCAATTTTGGTCACTCAAAGTAGTAAAATGGTTCACGTTAAGTCACTCTCCGTTAACTTTATCTGATGTGGCAGTCAACACTAACAGTTGACCGTTAAATGTCTGACTTGGCAATTAAAAAATTAATAAAAAATTTAATTTAAATTCTTTTAATATTTTCCACATCATTAAAATAATTAAATAAAACCAAAAAGAGCACGCCAACCGCCGAAATTCTCCGGTGCTCTACCTCCTCATCCTCCGGCAGTCGCCGTTTCGCCGACTAGCTCCACATCATTCGCACGCTATTGGAGTACGGCAGTACGCAAACGTGAGGGGTCTTCGGTGGAGGCAGGGGTGGAGCTTAATTGCCACGTCAGGGAACCGACATGCTGTCTGCAGCGCGATTAGTCTACAGGGCTACGGCCATCGGGAAGGCTAAAACGTTGAGCCTTGCCCCGCAGTCGGCTTCGGCTGGCAAGATAAGGTCGTCGTTGCCGCCGCCACCGAATGACCCGACAATTGTTCGGACAAGTACAGTACAGCTGGTGGGAGGGCAGCCAAGGACAGTAGCAATACTAGCAGCAGGAGCTCTACAGATTCGTTATCAGATTTTTCACAGCTTGCGGTACATTTACTTCTCTTCTTCTTTAGTAGACTACTATTAAATATTGCTTGAATGAATGCTCAATAGTCAATTCAAGTTTCTGCTAATCGAATTCGAAATGCCACACACTCCGTTCTGGGTTCTTATTAGCCTAATTGTCGGCGGCCTTGATAGGACCATGGAAGTAAAGGGTTAGAATCATCCAGTCAAACAAAGCCACGATTGGAATGTTGTTGAATCTGATTTTGCTTTGTGGCAGAGGAATCTCCCACCCGCGACGAAAGCTTCAACAGCAGGAGAAAGGGCAAAAACTGCATCGGCAGAGCACTCGTTGTGCTCTTTTTGGTTTTATTTATATATTTTATTTAATTATTTTAATGATGTGTAAATATTAAAAGAATTAAATTAATTTTTTAATTTTCACGTCAGACATTTAACGGTCAACTGTTAGGGTTGACTACCACATCATATAAAGTTAACGGAGAGTGGCTATACGTGGACCGTTTTACTAATCTGAGTGACCAAAATTGATATTAATTTTTTCAGTGACTAAACATAGCACGTTTTAGTAAACCCGGTGGCCAAACTTGGCATTCAAATTTTATCCCTTTAAAAGTTATGGTGCAAAGTTAGTTTGTATCATAATTTTTGTATAAATTCATTTATGGCACAAACTAAATTTGTGTATCTTTTTCAACAAATTTCTTTATTATACAAACTGAACTTTTACCTTTAACACTATGGTACAAGTTTAATTCAATATTTGTGAAACTGTACCATACCAGCAGTCCGATAAAAAAACCCTCCAACTGAAGCTGACATGTTAGATGATTTTTAGTGGTATGATACATTTGAACCACTATTAAACCACTATTTCGGCGTAAAATATTCAATCGCTAACTTTTTCTTATACAACTTTCGGTACGGTGTGACAATCCTTACTTCAATTTATACCTCAAAGCACCAATACTTTAGATTATAGAGTATAGCAGAAGAACTCGTGTCTGCTTAACTACTTTGATATTGGGTGTTTTTTTGTCATTTCCCACTTTTCGTCTCCAGATTTAAGTGGAAAAAGGGTCATAGAAATGTATTACTTTATTTTTCCCCTGTCACAAATTGTTCTTTTTTTGCAAAGTTGTCAATGGATATGTGACTCGCCGATACAGTCACACTAGAAAGTGACCAAGTGTAACCACAAACTAATGCGTAGTATAGCGGGTTTAGTTTTAATTGTCAACAGGTGTCCTAGATGTGATGACTACTCCGTGAAGTTCTCGTTATCTAGCAGTTTGAATGTAGTGAAGTTGTAACTAATCTAAGCAAACACAAAGCAGTAAAGTTGTGATTCAAGTTCGAGAGAGGTCACCTAGATATGGTTCCCCCTAGACTGCAGTTAAGCCGAATTATAATTCACCAAGTCCATATATATGGTTCAAAAAGCGCGCCTAGGCACTTGCCTAGACGCAAGTCAGAAGGAAACGCCTCGCCTTAGCAAAAAGTAGTGGATAAGGCATCAACATCACGTTGTGGCCTATGTGGCGCCTAGTCAACATTGAGTTGTGTCTCAAAATTATGTCACGATATCTTTTTTCTACCTTTTGATACACTACTAGTGAGGACAGTCTTGATTTCTCTAGTTAGGCTAAGATATAGTTAGAGACGAACATCTATAGAGTAGCTTCTTCTTTCTTTGTTGTGCTTCTTCGCTCTCAATCTCTTTCTCTATTTTCAAACTTCTTCTTCCTTACTTATTTCTCCACACTATTTTTATGTTTCACCATGTGTTGTTGATGAAGGTCTAGAAATGAGAGGTAAATGCGATGATATTGGTTTAAAAACTTGTGATTCTAGACAAGTGTGAGATATTTTGTTACGTTTACATCTAACACTTAGGCACGCCTAGGCGACGCCTAAGCATGCTAGGGGCAAGGTAGAGCCTCAACGCTCGCCTTACGCCTAGCGATTTCTTGAACCTTTTATATAATGCTAGTTATACTGTGGAAGGTTCTTATTCAGTTTGAAGTCTCAGCTAAAGGTCTTCAGACCCTCCAGTCTGAATACCCGACGGGAGACTAGCCTCCACCGGAGTAAACGAACGGAGGCCCAAACGTGCCAAACCTCCTCTACCGGATTAAATCTAGTACAGATCAGTTAATTGACTCCTCGACTAAAGTAGTCAATTCATCACCTTCAATTAAGGTTGCTCTATCAACCTATGCATATATTCTCTTTCTAGGTCAAAGTAGAAACTACAAGAATGTGATCAAGATTCATGCAATTCTGAAATCATGCCTCAATTGAATATAATCAATATCAATATATCATATACTTGGGTTCATACAACCAACCCTAACATACAAATCTAGGGTTCTTCATATGTACCCAGGTGAGAGAGGTAGTTTACTCCATAAAGAGAGAAGAGAAATCGGCTTCAAATGCAGAAATCATCATGTGTAGGATGGAGTTCAGCTTCTAGTTGTCAATATGTGCTTCTCTAGGCTTCAATCGAGTTCCACTGGTGTCAAAGCTCAATCTAGGTCACCTTGGAAGTTTGGTTTGTCACTTTCTCTCTCTAAATATTTGTTTTCAACTCTAAAACTCTTATCCACTCTTCAAAAACTGAAATTGGTTTAAAACCCAGCTTTTCACGATTACACAGCCAGGACGCACGATAGTGTAAAATGGAGACGTGGCCGTGTAAACCCAAAACGCAGTGCTCTGATTAATGGCTCGTAGGAGACACACGGCCAATGCACGGCCGTGTAAAATGGCGACTTGCCCGTGCATATCTATGGACAACCCGCAAGGGCTGGGCGCAATTTTCCAATTTGCTTTGCAAGAAGATTATGTTTGTAGTTGTCTTCACTTATGTTCCCAATGTGGGTTGATTGAATTTGGCGACGGTAGAGCGATGCATTTTGCAATCGCCGATAGCATGGCTTTGGGTCCAATTTCAGGTACGCACCACTCTCATCTCTCTCGCCTCTTTGTATTCTTCCCTCTCTCCAATTGCTCTATTTTCCTTTGTTGATCCTTGAAGGAGGTCGCTACCGAGCAATAAGAAAATTCAGAGGGGAGAGGCCTTTTCACGACTGCTTCTGCAAATTTTGTAAATGGAAAGGGAAGTGATACAACAAGGGAAGGCGTGTTTCGCGGCTTCGATGAAACTATAAATTGGGCTGTAGAGACTAAATTTTTGGAGTTTTGAGTTGGTAGAGGGTTAATTGCACCAGATACCACGTAAGTATTGGTTTCGTTGCACACTAAACACTTACGTTTTTCTAGTGGCAACTAAACCACATAAGGCGACTTCCGGTTGCACAGTTATATTTTTCATCCTTAAACTTAACGGCAGGTATCGAATTGAAATTGTATGCATCAATATACACAATTCCATTTTCCCTCGCATTCTTCCATCTACATTCCGGTATTACTAGCGCTCTTTTTAATGATCCTTTATTGTTTTCGCCAAAATTTACAATTGTTTCATATTTTTTTAAAAAAATTTGGGTCTAATTGAATTAAACTTTGGCTTCATTTCAAATAAAGCAAACTTTTTAAACTTATGTGGAATGTGAAATGCAATCCTTAATCTTTTCTTTTCGTGTATAATATGTTTTGCATAATTGGCACCTCACTATAGGACTTTCTTTGGGAAATTTTTTTTTTGGGTGCCCCTCTTATAGACTGTTTAAATCCATCTATTTTAAATCAATTTGTGCATGCTATTGTTGTATAAGTATTGTAATAAATATTTGAGCTGAACGAAGTTCCAGCATAAAGAGTCTTTCTTTAGCTGAGTTCTGCACACGTGAACTTCAGGTGACGATCATATAAAAACTAAAGAAGCATATTGAGATTAAATAGATGGGGATATTTAAACTGAATGAGTGAAGCAGAATTAAGAAACGATCTTATGCAGTAAAATCGAGCGACAAAAAAAGTAAAGTAATGAGGAAATTCCAGGTGAAGTTGTATCATAGATTCGTTACTAGTGTCTACTAAAGAAAGACTTACAGATTGAAACTCAGTTTTTCGACCGAAGTTCTTAGCGGAAGCCCCCCATCTCCAACTCTATAAATAATTTTACAAGAGGATCGACACTCACAGAAGAGCAAGAGAAGAATTTCAAAGGGCTATTGTGATCGGGTTTACTCTATCCTCCATTTTATAAAAAAAAATATTTATTTTGTGGAGAAGAATAAAGTGAAAGAAAAATGGTATGGTGTAAATTAAGGTGGAAAATTTTTAATTTGATACCTACAATTAAGTTTAAGGATGGAAAATATAACGGTGCAACTGGAAGTCGACTTGTGTGGTTTAGTTGCAACTAAAAAACTTAAGTGATTAGTATGCAACGAAACCAAAATTTACATGGTATCCGATGCAATTAATCCAGTTAGCTGGTTTGGTGAGGTGGATTGAATTTTTATTTTATTTTTGCAAAGAGGAAAGTGTTGGTGGGAATTCAGATGGACTGGTGTGGAATTGATGTTGGTTCTGTTTTCTCAATTGTATCCAATTGGTTTGCAGTTTGCAATTTGCAACAAGTTCATTGTCAGTTAATTGAAGGGTAGGGGGTAGGGGAGAAGGGTATGTTTGTCTTTTAATTGGAAGTTATACAATAACACACTGCAAATAACTCTTTGAGTCAAACAAGATATTTTAACCCAATAACCACACAAATACCTAATTGACAAATAATGAATTATTTCATCTCACAAATACTACATAACCAATAACATCCGAATGACCCCTAAAAAACATGTACAGCTGGTAGACAACTCTCCACTGATGAAGTATTATGTAGCTTAGGTAAAACTTTTTCTACCTACACTTCATCAAAGAAAATAGAAGTTGCATCCCCACGTCACTTGCAAACACATACATTATCTACACATAATATAATAGCCGGAAGGAAAAAACTCTTCCCCCATTTCAAATTCCCTGCTCTAGGAGCGTTTTGCAGAGGGGCAATTTTGAAAAGAGCATCTTTCACCGCATACAAGCACAAAGTGTACCACAATAGTGAATAGATTCGTCCACAGCCTACCTCAGAGGCTTCTTTCAAAATTTTCAGAAACCACTCTTTATAAGACAAACCATCAACCATAGCGAAGAACTTGGCTAATGGAGTTTGATTCCAATTCCGAGCTACCCAACTGCATTCGAATAGAAGATGCTTTAAAGTTTCCACAATGCCTGTAAAACGTGAACTTTTGCTAATTTGTATGGAAATGTTTTTGGTACCCCTTCACTGTGAGATTGCGGAAGTATAAGTAATGGAAGAAAGTAAAAACTTGTGGTTCAAGGAATAAGAGACTCGCTGCAAAATGGAAAGGTAACAGCATTCCCCAATTTACATTCTAAAAGTTTGCGTTTTAACTAACCGGAGCAAAGGTTTATG